TTACCTTCACCAATGCAACACCGTGTTCGAATCCTATTCGAGGTAAGAATTCATGATGGCGTCCGTGCGCAGCGTCGCTAGTAATAACTCGAGAAGGGCTGAACGGATTCTCTTAGTTTTTAAGACCAGGGAATTCCGTGAAAAATTGTTGAGCCACGTGGGTCGAAAAAACGTTTACGTTCCACATCAGAGAAGTGCCCTTTCTTCGTAAAATATTATTAACCGAATGATATTTGTCACAGAGACGCGCTGTGTTATCTTTAACGCAGGAAACAAACTTTAATTCAGAGATTCTGGTTGCCCTAACAGCTTCATACCAATGTTTAGTCTTCTGAGTGCTGCATTACAAAGCTGCTTAGGCTTCAATTTAAATACTATGGACCATTGATCACCTCAAACTTCGAGAACCGTTGGATTGATTTTGTTAAAATTCTGTTCGTAAGAAAATATCACGTGATACCACCGACGAACTAAAAAAAACAAGAAATGCCGACAGAGCGAACGCTGTAGAGTGCGTGAATTTCCCAACTTCTCCTGTTTCCTATGTAACGGGCTGACACCCCCACCCACGTCTAAGCAGTCGAAACAGAAACGACTCGGCCTTTCCTGGCTCCCAGGCAGTTACAGCAACCGGGCGCTCTTCTGAGACAAACCTAATGACGATCAGTAGGCACGTACACAAGGCTACAATGGGCTAGAAAAGATGCCAGAATTGGGAAACACAGAATGCACGAATTTTGGCACGGAAATCTCTTGAAAAAGGTTACTTGGAAGACAGAGAAGGAGAAGGAGGGGAGGAGGAGGTTAAGAGGACGGGAGGTAAATGGATTGGCACAGAAACTCTCCAATGGCGGATTTCTTATTAGCGCCGTCGCACTTTCGAGTTTTAATGTCAGAGAATTAATTATAATGTAAAAGATCGGACTTTGAGCAAAGAAGTTCTGAGCAACTGCAGACGCCTTTGGACTAAATTAATCCGACATGAGAGCCGGCAGTCATCAGAATTCACGGCTTTCACGATTTGAAAGAATTCGTGCTTCTTTCATCAACCTAAAGACGCCCGTCGCCCGTCGCCCGTCATCCGTGATCTTAAAGTAAGAGGAGCAAAGTTATCCCGAGCGGTCACCAAGGACTTCCATCTGCATCGTCAGCTTCGGACATTACGTTCTGGAACGACCAGACTTTTCTTTTCTCTTCTCTTTAAACCATCCACAGAGAGAGACGGCCAATGAAACTCATTTTCATCAGAGGTGGGCATTTCAAAAGTTCACACGGCGCCCCCGCAACAACCAAAAGGAGAGAAAGGGGCAGTTCGCTCCACAAACTCCGGTCTTATTATCGCCGTGCAGGATAAAACTTCACGCATCAAGAAACGTCGTTCTGCATCGCATCAGACGACGTTCGCCACGCTGACATTTAAGAAAACGTGGACGAACCCGGCCGCGTCAACTATGAGAAATGTAATGCAACACCGCTCAAACACATGCGCAAATGGCAGATTCTTTATGTCGAATACCGCCTCTCTTCATGCTACACACGAGATATCTCGCTTAGTTTCACTTTGTGTTTCCGGAAGCCGGTGAAAGAAACGTGCCCCGCCATCTCTTAACGGCCAGGGTTAACTAGTTCGATCCTTCGGCTCTTCTCCAGAATCGAAGCCCAGTCCCCGAGACCACAACCAGCAGATTTAATCAGTGATAACAAATGAAGTTCTTGTGTTTCCAAATTCCATAGCGTAGGGGGCGTGGAGGTATAGTTGGAGGCGAGTGATGCTGAACGAAGGTTACCACTGCGAGGCGACACACAGCGATCATCAGACTACAGACTCCCTGATGTTGCTAGGATGACAAGAGACACAGAACTTCTCGAGAAGACGACACTCATTCCGCCTTTTATAGACCCCGAAAATTATTTACCGTCTTCATAAAAGGCCGCTGAGCTATCGGTCATGCAAGTCTGAACTGAAAAGCAACAGATATCTCCGAAACGTCTGTAAAAACAAAAATTACCACAATGTGTCGCATCCGGGAAGACAATACTCTAAACTCGCATCGGCTGTACAGTCAGTCGCTCACACACACCGCATCAATCCGTTCTGGTTGAAGGGTTGAAGCGCCGATCGGAAACAGAGCGGAGCGACCCGACGCTCCCCTTCGCGAAAGTTTCAATCAGAGGTTCTGTACACCACAGCACGTTAAACCCGCTCGGAGTGTAAGACAAAGGGGCACGACAAATAGAAAAATTTAAATACGCGAGCAAAAAACAAAGCGTTATAAAACATCTCGGTAAAATGTAGAACAATAGTTAGAAGAGAGAGCTCTGGGGATTATTGTCTTTCCCAATTATTTAGCGTGGCAGGGGGGGAAGGGGGAATCGCACCTGAGAGCACCGTGAGAGTTTTAACATCAGAACAGGAATTAAAACCTGATTTTCGTACAAGGCACCGAAATAATTCATGCCTGGCTTTTACACGAAGCTTGGCACAGCTTCGTTCGCCCAATTCCGATGAATTTTTTAACACAGAGTTCGCTTCTGCTAGGCGCATAATACTCTTCACAGCAACAAAACGTTCAATAAATTTGGACAATTACTTCAACCACTGACTTCGAAACCTCAGCTCTTAATCGGAACACGAACTGAGCGAATCTGAGAACACTTGGACCAAACACGGAGCACGTGACGAGTGTCCACTGTCAACTCACACGACGAAGACGTCCTTTCATCTGTCACGTGTTAAGAACAGATAAAAGAACACATACGGCGGATTAAGAAAATTTCTTAATGTCTATATTTCCGTAAGTGTTTATACGCGATTAAAAATGTATGGCATGAAATCTCAAAAATATCAGAGAGGTGTACCCTATGGAAAACACGCAAGTTTCAAAGGTAATGTTTTCAGAACTTCCAACTGGCACAGTATCACACATTTCGTATGTAGGAAAAAGTAAGCGACCGTGGCCCATTCTAAGACAGTAACATATAATTTGTCTTTCGTGATTGGAAGCACAGAACTGAACCCGAGACCATCCGGATGTCAACCAGAGGCGATAATCGGTCAGCGAACACGCCAACATACAGTGAAAATTTTTTAAGTAATGGAGATCAAATAGCAAAGCAGTGAGAATGAGCATCGATGTCTTCTGGGTTGCCGCGCTTTCAGAGGTGCCTGCTAGCTCCATCATCTGGGCGAAATGGAGGCAACAGGAACCTCTGAAACGTCAGTAAATTTCTACCATTCTACATGTCAAAAATAAACCCAACAAGACAGTCCCCTCCCCCGGCTAAATGTCGTTTATATATGACGCGCCAAGTCTTCGAGTTTGTGTCTGCAGACCCTGACAGGAAGAACCCGGATTGGGTCTAATTATCAATCCTGACAAAACCTCATTTCCAAGCAAGTCGATGAGAGTAGCTTCAACTTTTAGCCGTCGCAAACATCAGCAGCCTGATTAAAACTTGTCCGTAATTAGTGTCGCTGTACCACGGACGACAGAGCCATCTCGTAGCTACAGCAGCAGCAAGAACACGCCGTCTTATTAGACCGACCACAAAGTAGTGAGAGCCATCAGCGACGGACAAAGAGTCGCGAAGCAGCAAATATTAAGCCGAAGCAACTCGACACGTGTATACAAACAAACAAACTAACTAACTAGCTAGCCAAACTCTTGAAAAGTTATAAGTAGGTGGCTTTGGCGACGAAGAACTTCCGGATCTTCATCTGGTGCTCCGACTGTCTTGACATTTTCCCTTCCGGTGTCTGACTGATCAAGGCATCGAAGGTGCGATCCGTCTAAGTTCCTTACACCCGGATTCATTACAGAGAACATTAAAGCAAATTACATGCACAAAGCGAACACAGAAGTTAACTGAGCGTTTGCAAAGAATACAATTAACAATAACTGAATGTCTTGTTGGCGTGCACCAGCGGAGGACAACGCGTTTCTTGCCAGACACATCCTAGTCGAACGCGACAAACGCTCTTGTTCTGTCTTTCAAATGTGGCGGAACACAAAATGGATCCTGAAACAGCTCTGACGGAAGAAATCGAAGAAGTGAGGTTAGGAGAACGTGGGGGCTGTGCTGGTTCACCGATCAGGCAACTGCATGTTAAGAATACTGAGGCCACACCGTGGACCGCCGGACATTACTGACTGTTTCTGCGCTGGTATCCGCCAATCGTAAACGTCTCCCCCTTTACCCCACACCCGACTGCACCCAGTGTCCTGAAATCGATTATCCAGCTCTTGAATCTGATTCCAGAATGCAGGATTCATATGAAATTTCGTCTGAAACACTCGTTGAACGCTGGCCACAGAATTTATGGAACACAACTGGAGCACAGGACGCATTCATGGGCTGAGTCGCCATTTTACTGTAAAATCAACCAAAGTTGCGCTCCTAGCGGTCGTCACTGGAATTATGTCACTCCCTCCCCACGCATGCATTTGGCTGCCATAAGCAGCGAACACGTGAACGTATAAGAAATTCATCGCAGACGACACAAAATATAATCGACTGTTGTCGACTTCAGCCAAGCGTATTCAAGAGGTTCAGTCGGTCTGTGCACTCCATCGTCCTCACTTGTTGTGTCCCGCATAATCGACGCGCCATATTTCAGCCTATCGTCAACTGAATTCAGTCAACATGTACGATATCATACGATCCCCGTGTAAGGTCGCATTACTCCGACTCCTTCTTAAACCCTGACTGCAAATGCCACGAGCTACAGGCTGAACGCAGCGCGGGAGAATCTACAGACGAAATTATAAAGCAACATTTGACGGTGCACGTAAGTGATACGCGGATCCTTAAGTTCTTTAAAAAAAACACTGAAAAAATCGGATACGCTTTATAATCGATATGACGCAGAGTCCCGTTTTGCTGACAAGACATTTCCGAATGAGGCGGCAAGCACGTGTCACTTGCAAAGAAAGAAGCCTTTCTGTTGATTCATCTTAGAGAAAATCGAAACTCGGACACGTAGAATTAAAACTGAAGTCACATCTACCTTTCACAGCATTCAGCTTGTTGCCCACCATCTGCTTCGCCACAAAGGCCGCCATGTTTCTTCTTGTGGCTACCTGCTGTTGGTGCTGACCTCTGGTGGGGACGCTTCAAGTTCCTCCAACTAACGGAATCAATCACAGGGAGGCGATTACCTGTGAAGAGATCAAAACAATTGGTTAGTCCACTGGCAGTTTTGTAGAATTCTCTTTCAAATGCAGTGGGTTCGTATCTCGTACAGTAATGTTTGTCAGTTTGTCGGTAGATTATACTCTTTTACCTTTTGTGTTGGGTTCCTGTGAATTTAAACTTTTTCCCTGTCTTGATTTTAATTCAAAGTCTGGATAAAAACCAGGACGTAAAACTATGCACACCACGTCCTACGCCTTAGTTTGTCTGTATCCTATTTAATCAAAAAGCGTTCGATGATTTGTTTGGGGGGGGAGGGGCCCTCAGTGGTACCACACACGTTGACAAACATTGCCGTACAAAACTCTCTGCGACCTCTCGCTGTTGCCTCCAATTCCCTATTTGTTGTATTGTATTCGTGCTTAATCAGGAAAAATCGTCAATGCGGTAGCAATTTTTCTCAACCTCAGGTCACGATGCAACCAGGGTCGGCCGAGTGACCAAACCTCCGAAGCAGAATGAAGCTTCCGATGTGCGCGCACTTGCGGCGACATTCTGAATTCAGCGACTGTGGAACTGGGGTTGAATTCATTCACTCTGTCACAGCACGAACTCTACTGGTGCTTGTCGGTCGGTCGGTCGGTCGGTCGGTCGGTCGGGGGACCTACTATATGACACACTCGGTAGAGAGTCACTACATCATCGCATGAATGTGGCATGTTTAAATCACAGACCACACATGTACGCCATTGTTTCGGTTCTGGTACCCGACCGTAAAACCCCCCCCCCAATTGTTCTCGTGCGACGGACAATTGAATAACGCCGATTTTCTCGTAAATTAACTGTTCAGTGTTCTAAACTGCACGCACTAGAGAAGGAATGACCAAATGTTTATCTTCAGCTGATAGGATGGAATTACAGAGAACGTCGGAGGGCTTCGTTTTACCACAATTAAATTTTAACGAAACGGTCACACTTTTCAGAAATTTTTAAATTATATCGAATAAATTGTTTCAAAGTAGAAATATCAAAGAGTACGAAAAGGGTCGAAAGCGTTGACCACATTTCCACGATTACAGTCTGGCTCTCCTACCCAATCGCTCTTTGTCAGAAACACAATTCGCAAACATTTGTGAATCAATATCAGCGGTTAGGCACATGTGAAGTACGAAGACAGATGGGGGTCGGGTGCATGCCCTTACGTCACACAGAACACGCCTAATGAACACAAACACAGCCAACAATATTAATAAGAGGGCTGCAGAAAGCCTTCAACAACCACAGCTATGCGGCGCCACTGTTCCCGTGCAACTGACAACTGAACAACGACACTGGATGCAACCCGCATTACAAGCATTCTGTTCATTAACAGTCCACAAAAGACTGATGACTCGAAGAAAATAACCCCCCCCCCAAGTGTTGGGTAAATCGGCTATCAACGCAATTAAGGGCGTTTGTGTACCAACGCCAGCCCGTCAACTGGGCCCCCAACCGACGATGGTTAACGCAGCGGTACATAAAAGATGATAGGACGAGGTAGGAGAGATGTGAGGATGGGAACGGTGTTCCCCCTCCCCTCCGAAAGTTCTGTACATTCTGACAAATCGATAAACCGTCAGAACCCTGACGACCAACAACCAGGGTTCAGTGCCTTCATGCTAACGTTACGAACACAAGGAGAATTCAAACTGCGATGTGTACAGGAGAACACGTGTCCTCTGTACCTTGGCACTCGGAATGCTCCCAGCTGAAACATGACAAACACAACCTGGGTCGATGTGCCGTGTACTCTGGTAGGAAATGATCCGACGTTTCATAGGTACGCATCGCCCTGATGATGGACGCTGTAAGTACTTCTGAGACGTCGGCAAACACGTTCATAGTCGCCATAGTGAGAACGCAAAATCTCACTATAATTAAGCCATATGATTGACAAGTGTTGATAAAAGTCACCACTGGAATGCAAACGGTGTAAAAACGTAAGCGCGTGTCTGGAGCGTCGGATTTATTCATTGGCTTGTATTCTTATTATTAACAAAAACGAAAACGAGCGAATTGCAGACTGATGTCTGCATATACATTCCGAAACTTACAGCCAAAATACGTCACATGTTGTAAACAATTCTTTCCTTTTCTGTACAGACTCAACTGTTTATCAGAACTTGATTGATGGGAGATGATAAGGGATTCAGAGGACCCTTCGTCTCAATCACAAATTCATTTAAAAATAATTCAGTGTGTAGCTCACAATACTCGTTGAAACGTACAGCGTGTCCCGTAAGTGATGAGTCATAGCAGAATTCTGTCATTCGGGCAAAACACCGAAAAATACAAAGAGTGGGTGGAGGGGTTTGTTGAAAATCGTGTATTTCGAATTCCAAGTGCCGGAATGTTTTCCCCGAGACGAGTCCGGGAGCCACACGCTTTCCGTTATCAGCTGTAACACGGCGATGTCACCACGCTGATATGACATCGCTTGTGGGGCCTTGTGTGTGTTGAGCGATTATTACTTTTTAAGACAAACGCTTTGTCTTGTTATACCTGCAAGAGACAACACAACGATGCTACAACACAGACGTTCACTGGTTGCTATGCTACCGTCATTCTCGACGAGCAACTTTCTAGTAAATTACATAATTGCACTGCGCAACTGCTGCCCCGCGGACGACGTAAAAGTGTAAGTTAGGCGTGTGTTTTAACGGAAGGCAACGGTAAGATTTATCCCCGAACTTTTACCTACGCGTTATTCACAAAATAAACCGGAGCGAACTGCAATTGGGACTCCGTGCTTCCCACTATCATCACAAAAAATACTTGGGAATCAGTTTTAAGCGTTGCTTCTTCCCTCCTCTGTTCTGTAGCCCTAATGTTTCATATGTTTATCGGAAACCGTTCAGAAAACAGCAAACCTTCGCGTAGAAGCCAGGAACCATTTTTATATATATTACAAACCATTAAACAATGTAAGGGTTTCTCCTATTCTTTTGATAAAATATTCATAAAAATCCAACGTCCGTTATATCACTTAATGAATTGTAATTAATAATCTTACAAATAATGTTCACTTAATAATTAATGCCTTCTTTAAGTACTATAAATCTGTACATTTATAATATCGTTCCAGTGCACTTCACCGAGTGCTGCCCTCCCGCTGTGTTGGTGTTTTGCATTGTATAGAAGAAGGAGCTGTGTTTCTGTTAAAACAACGTCAGACCCCACTTTGCAAATTAAAATAAGCGAACCGTTCCTAACACAGGGGGAGGAGGGGTATTAGTAACTTTTTCTGTAGCACTCAGAACAGACATTCAAATGAAGAATATAAGTTAGATCCACGTCGGAAATTTATAACACAACAGAGTGGATGGATTCATTACAAGTTTCAATCTTTTCCCCCCCCCCCCCCGTTTTTGGATTATGAAAGGCAATTACGTCACAAGGACATGATACTTTTCGTCCACACTCGAGAAATTCAAAAGAGAATCTTCATGTTATCCCTTTCAAACGAAGACGTCTTATTCCTTTCCGTTCCCTTGGATAATGAATCCCGATTCATCGCACAAAATGAGTCTGCGACGCGTTCGAAGTACAGGACAATTTCTGCAGCTAATCGGATGAAAGCAAATTACATTAATACTCCAGTCGGGATTGGCAGATTTCATCATTAGAAAGCTGATCACATATACTGAAGTAACAAAGTTCATTAATTTCCTATACAAATTCCAATTAAAAGACAAGATATCATGCACTAACCTCCAAAGCTGAACGAGATCTTCTAGGTCCACTGAGCACATGGATCAGCCGACGACGGCAAGAGTTCATCCTGAGTACCGTCAGAAACGGTTCAACGTAAAACGTGGAAACGAAAAACGGAATCCGCTGCAAACTCAGGCAGCTTAACGAACGCAAACATGGGCTCGTCGATTCTTACTTAAACCAGTGTCATCCAACCAATCCAGAGATGAACAACGCACAAAGATGCTCAACTTCAAGACAAGGTGCATGCGCGGGAGGGATCGAATCATGGAAACATGAGGCGTGATGGTACAGACAGGTCTTCGGAAGTAGGAGCAGGCATCGGTTATCCAGGGCTGGTTGGTTTGGTAACTGGAATTCTGTGACACGTCTGGGTATTTTTAAAGTGCGTTAAAGAAAGTACCAAATTCAATTATGCGAAAACAAATCCGTAATTCCGCTGGCCGTTTTTTATTTCCGGATGTTCTTGAAATTTACTTCCTGTAGGATAAACGTACCTCGTAAAATAACACAACATAAGCCCACAAAAACATTTGTACCCCACTGCATCGTTTCCAACAGACGCCCATAACACGCGCAAATCTCAAATTGCTGTCAAATATTTGCACCAATTGCTGCTTTCTTAGAAGCGTTAAACTTACGAACACGTGCACAAAACTCGCACACATTTCAGGGCGCTATCAGGTCTCAACCTTTCTGTTTTCTTACAAAATTTACGAGCACAAGAATTACAAATAGCAACAGATAATTCCAGTTCCAATGTGTATCCGTCCACGCTTCTATCTAAAACATTCAGCGCTGAATTAATCTTCTTCTGACACGAAATAAATGCAGAAAGATTGTGCGCTCCAACTTCACACTGAATGACTGGAACCGTCGCCATCAAACGCTCGTTTCTGGAACACAGACATCTTGTCGTCCGGCATTACAGTGCGTTTCAACCCGCGACGAACGACACACAGACAGACTGCGCCCGGTGGGGCAGCTTCCTGCACAGCAGACCGTTTCGACCTCGGAGCCTTAAAACCTCAGCAACTGCCAATCCTTAAGTTTCAACGTAAAAACAAAACTTTCGCGCTGAAATCAAGCTTGCCAGTTGCAAATCAAAAAATATGGTATAATGAAGGAGAAAACAAAAAACGAAACGTTGAGAAGGCAACTTTTTATAACCGCCCAAAGTACAGCAACGTGTACGCGAGGGTACAGCGACGACTGAGCGGAAATGCACATAGTACGGGCTGTTGCAAAAGTTATGCAACCAAACTGGAGTATC